CCTCAATGTCAGATCTAAGCAATGAGGAAATTTTAATATGATACCTTTTTATATACCTGTATAAATATACATTTTAAAGACCACATATTTAACTGCCGAGGAAAAGTTAAATAAACGTAATATATCTGAGCTTTTAATTGATGTTATGATAATTAATATATATTAAACAACATTATATATTAAAATCATTTTTTCTGAATGCGTATGAAAGCACAACAAGTATGGAAAATTTTGTACACTGTTTTAATTTATACAGGAGGTATCCAATAACATATAAAAATGTTTTTATAAAGTAAAAAATTTAAATACTATCCTACGAAGGAATCTAAAGGAAAATACGTTAATAAACTAATCGAGAGGTAGCCGTTTGTCTTTGTAGTGTAGTTCATTGTAATGTTTTAAAGTGACTCGATTAAGAATATTAATAAATTTAAAATAAGTTAAAAATAACGTGGATAGAGGGCACAGAGCGGCACATAATGATTGCCATCCGTGGATGAAAGCGGGTAGATATACCTACATGATTACTCAAGAACCTATAGATAGATAAAGAAATTATGACTACACAACACGAATCCCAAAAAACAAAGGGTAAGGGGAGATGATTAGTTATGCTAGTCCGTAAGAAAAGCAATGGATTTTTTGCCCTTTATCATTATTATCTGTATTCAGCCTTTCCATTTATAATCAGATTTTATGGAATTATGGACATTAGGAGATAAGGTGCATACAGTGACTGGATCATACATGATTGCGTCCACGCAATCGAAATGAAATAATATTAATCAAGCTCGAATTCGCGAGATAATTTAATCAATAGAAATTTCATAAAGAATATTTACAAAACACATAATGTTGCTGTGTTCCATCAATAGATTTCCGGATTATGAGATTCCAACCGAAGATGACGCAACAGCACCTACTAGGCTTGCAATTTTTAGCTAACTCCAAACCCTGCTGAGTAAAGTGAAACCTAACTAACTCTTATTAATTCGATTTGGAATAGATAAACCTCTTATTAACTATCTTAAGAAATCTTATTATTTCGGTTTGGTATTTGAAGCTAAGTAACACTTATAATGTAAATAAAAGTTCCAAACAAATAATTAAACAGTAGTAGTTACATTGTATTTCAGTGCAGCCGGAAGTTTGTTAACAACAAATAGCTTTTGTAACATCGAAGCAAGTAGTTTAGTGGTGACGCGTTTAATTTTCATAAAAGTTAAAGTAACTACGTCGTACTTCTATGCAGAGTCAAACTAATCCTCTTTCATGAATTAGTTTTATTTATGTACATATTTATATAACACCTATATATATATAACACATGGAATGAAAATAAAGCATGCAGTATAACATAACGCTAATGTGATGCCCGTGGTGCTATTCAAATATATAGGCAATAATTACCATATATCATCAGGTAAGCCATCGTTCTATTTGCGAGTTTAGGTGCATAAGAAATAATGAGTATATTTTTATATTTTTTAATTAAAATAGGTCTTAGGTACCATAAGATAGGTACATTATGATATTAATGTTTTTGAATTTACAGATTACATAACAACAAACAAATAATCTAATCGTTCCGCTTTATAATATATAGTTTAAACGTACCAATGTATAGAGATGTTCTTTGATTTTTTAATGTCTCTACTCCCACGCGCTCCCACTTTGATTTCTGACCCAGTTCCAATTTAAAACAGAGCTTGTCACTCCACCGTACAATTGAATAAATTGCTTTACACAACATTCATAGCGATTTTATTGCAATTTAAACATATAGGAATGCCTAGAGGATTAAATTCGTCGTGGTTTGTGAATGAAATCGTATAAATCAAAGTATATTTTACTAGCTAACAAACGAAACTTCGTCTGTATTTTTCAATAATGCAGCCGCTGCTATTGCTCGTATCGTGATGTTGTGTAACCTATAATAGTCTTAATAAATGGGCTATCCAGTACTAAAAAAAATAGTAACAATCTTTCACAGAAATATTAAGTAGTCTTTACTGAAAATTAGTTACGGACTAGTTGTATTAGTAAGTAAAATAATTTAGCTATTTCTTTAACTCAATTTTGTGAGTATAGGTAACCAAAATTTCTATAAATACGAGTATGAGAAAAATCAATATAAATATTATGTCTTATTGTTCCTCGATAAACCAACTAATTTCATTGATATTTTTTTTTATGATTTAAAAATATCAATATAGATGTATAACGGTAGAGTATTTTTTACGGTGGCGGGTACCAGTGGTTTATGAGTATGAAGTCAGGCTAGTTAGACCATCGTGGTAATGAATTTATTACGGTATATACTGTCAGAGCTAACGGGGTAACAGTATACTGATGCAAAATGTAAAGATAAGTGAAATCTGTTAGCCCATTGTGGCCAATTCACCAAGAATTAACAACGATCGTTTCCAAGAAGGACCTCGTGGATGTCGACATGATATGGACATTGCTAGCAATGGAGCCACTATTACTAATGCAACCCACATTCTCCAGATGGGCGGCATGGCTCAATGTACTGAATGCAACAATACCTGGCTATAAAAATATAAATCTGCTTATAAAGACTGTAGGCTAAAAAACTCTGCTTTACAAATATCATAATGTATCTAATGGCACCAAAAATTTCGTAATTCTATATATTGTTGTAATTGACATCCTGTGTGTACTGTCTAGGGTTATTATTAGTAGATATTATTTAATCCAAGAGAACCGTCTACGGAAAATACTAATAGTAACGGGTCCTACGTAAGGCAATGAACTCATCACCATGTTTCGGTGTCGTAAAAAGGTAAAATAAATTAAAAGGACTCTGTTTGTAGGTGGGCTAAACTGGCGCCGGTGTAACCCACCCCTAATAAACACGCTGTAAATTGATTCGGGTCGCTCGACACGACACGTGTAAATGAATTGAGCTGTAAAAAGATTTTATCTTTACGTAAAGCCGTTGGATTCATCTTATTAGTAACTATTATGGCTTAGTAGACTTTTTCATGGAAATCCATATTGTGTTAGTATTAACTGAAAAGCAAGAGGAATAGGCATATTCCGCTAAATAAATATTAAGAATTAAATAATTTATTTAAACCCATAACCGAACTTTGTTTGCACTTAAACTGAGTTCGGTAACATCAGTCAACAAGTTTTTCACAGATTGCATGAGGGCTGTTTCGCGTTTTTTATTGGACAATCTAGTGACGGTAGTCGATTGGTAAAAACTATTGGCACCTACCATCATTGACTACGCTCCAGTTAGGTCTTAATTACGACTAGTGTAACCTAGTCCAAAATTTGTGAGATAACTTTGAGAGATGTATACTACAAATTTTTGATGTGATAACCTATGAATAAAGCTACCATTGAAAGTTATGCTAAAATACTAGATCACCAGGTCTTCAATATTATTATTATTGTCAGCAGACACCATTTTACATGAGCATAGATGATTGTAGCCGGGTAAATTCAATTCAAATACAATATCCCTGAGCCACCTATCCTAAACATTTTTCCACGAAAAACGGTTAAAGAATCGATCTGCAAGAAAATAGCTTTATATTTATGGATCTATTCAGAGCAGGGTTACCAGCTTTAAAACTTAGCCATAGTACAGAGAAATAAAAAATTATAAAATTAGTTAGCTCAATTTGTCTCTTTAACCTCATATAATGATGTATCATAGTATTTTGACTAATTTTCGTAAGTCAAAATCTACTACAATTTTTTCCTTCAATCATAATTTACGAGCCGCGCCCTTGCCTCTAGCCATATTCACTATTTTCCATCAATCTCTTTAGTCGTTGATATGATACGAATCCAACTAATTCCTTAATCTGCTTGATATAGCTGTGCCTTAGCTCTTTTGTTCCCCTTCGCCTCTTTCCTTCTGTTTTTCCTTTGATAATATTATTCATAAGTTCGTCGTGTCGTATCAAGTGCCTCAACATATTTCCCGCCTATTTTCAATAATATTTATGAGCTGTCTGTTTTCTTTAATCCTTTGCAGTACTTCTTCCTTTCTTATCAAATATTTCCAGCTAATTCTTTCCATGGTTCTCCATTTCTCTACAAACTTGTATGAGGGTGAAAATAATCTAGAACAAAGACCAATAATCTCATATTTATACGAGAATCCTCGTACTTTTGGCACCCCTGATTCGGAGCAGCGTAAGCCACAGCACGCGACGACGTCGGCGCTGTCAGTTCACGGCTATTAGCATATGAATTCTGAATCAGAACGTGACTGGCATGTTCGAGACGTACTTTGATACCCCCGAAATCTACTCATAATATAATAAGTAATCTATACCTACATATATACACTCTTATAAATATTGCATGCTTAATAACGAACTGCATTCATTGAATAATTATTCTTTTGGATAAGTGACTTTAAGCAAGAAAAATTAAAGTTGGTTTCTTATTTTTTGCTACTTAAAAATATACATCATTTACAACAAAAAATTAAACACCGATTTTATCGATAAAACTTTGAGGTATATAAGGTATAAAGCATAATTGTATTGTATTTGCGGTAACCTCTAGCGTAACATTCTAAACTCATCACTTGTGATTATTTATATAATTAATAATTAATTGTTATATATATAATTAAAATAACTGAAAAGTATCTTATGAAAATAAATTAAATATTCTTTATTACTAATAACTCTAAGTAGGTATTTATTTTTGGTATCTCATGAATACAAATCTAACAGACACTAAAAACTTTGAGTGGCCAATTTATATTTCTGGCTAACCCTCCCATGATGGTAACACCGATAACAAATAAACCAAATTATTCTGAGACAAAAGAGATATATCTGAGAATAATTTCGCTTTCATTATGTCGACAGCTTGCAACGCCTCTGACTACCTCACTGTTATCTGTTAAGGTCATGAATTAATTATTATTAGTCTCCACCAGATCCTTCTTTCTAGTATCTGGCTAAAACATTATTCATGAATTTAAAATATTTTAAACGCAGGCTTTATCAAGTACGCGTTGGTTTACGCGTATCGCCAAAGGTGCCGGTGCACATCGAGGCTTCGGTGTCGAGCGGAAATGGAGCGGCGAGGACCGGCAGACCATCCACTGCCGCCTCGCTCATTGGAGGTCTGGCAGCATCACGGGCCTTCCAGATCATGTACAGGAATGAAGAGGTTACGCTGCGAGACATCATTCACTTTAGAGCCCATTTGCTAGGTTTGTTTCTATTCTAATTTGTAGTCCTGTCTAACTCGCCATCTAATCAAAAGGACCTATACAGTGGTGATGGTGACATATTCTCATAAAGTTTGTTTGTTTGTAATACTTTATTGTACAATAATATTATAAATAAAAGGACACAATTGACTTAGAAAAAAAGAAAACATGCGTACAATGGCGGACTTATCCCAGAAGAGGGATTTCTTCCAGTCAACCTTTGAGTTACTGAAAGTATTTATGTTAATATCTATAAAAATTATTATTATAAGCCAGTACAATTCACACGGCGCTAAATAGTCCCCAGTTAACTAGATCTTGTGTTATGGGTACTTAACTATTAATAGAAATACTTAAATAGATTTTTTACATATGCATTATACAAACAAGCACACTCATGAATATAATTTTATACTACAACAACAATATTGCCTATATTTATGAACATATAATTGTGTGTGATTTGTAATAATCAAATAAACGATATATCTATCTACCTGTCTACTAGGCGGGGAGTCTAATCCGCAAACATTGCAAGTAAGGCATGAACGCAGACGATGTTGCGCGAGCTAGTATTATATAAATTTAAAAATACTTACCTAAACAGTAAATTCTTTAAGTAAACTATTTACATTTTCCTCTTTATTATTTCCAGTTGATAGCCGCAATTTAAAAGAATCTCTAGAACGCGCAGAATGGAGCCTTGGAGTAGAACTATGGTGCAGCGAAGGGGCTCAATCTAGTACCCTTGCACCTGTCTCATGCCGTGTCCTCAAACTCCACTTCCAACCTTCGCAAGGTCTACATTACCACCTCCCAGTCCTCTTCGATTATTTCCATCTATCCTCTGTTTCCATAACCATACATGCGAGCCTGGTAGCTTTGCATCAGCCATACATTAAGTAAGTATTCACTTTCAATTCGTCCTTAAAGTATAATACCTACTTATGTACATTCAGTGAATTGATTGATGATTTTCTTTCATGTCTGGAAAGGAAAAGTATCATGCATTATGTACAAAGCTGGTAAGATATTAGCTCTTTACAACTCGTACAAAATATAAACGTATTGTATTTATTATTTAAATACCTACTTGACTGTTACACATTCTTTGTGAAAATGTGTACGAATGTATATGACTGTTACTATGGCATTCTTTGAATATAATACATACTAATAGCGAAATTGCGTTAGTCTATCTGTCTACTATACAGGACGGCTAAATGGAAGTCAATGAAATTTTACATAAAGATAGACTTTATCGAGAGCGGACATGTCGTTATTTTAAAAAAGCAGACGTTACCAGACGTTACCAGGCAGACCGTCTTATTACTAGTAAAAAATAATAAAGTTGATTTAAAGTGGGACTATTCCATTTATATATCTTAATAAAATATTTAGATTGTCAAACAAATTATTTCGAAGAGTACAATATTTTAAATTTCCCTTTCCAGTACCCCACGTTCAAGCAAGCAATGGGGAAAACTAATGAAAAGTGCTGGTGCCAATTTTAATACATCAGGAAGCTTCGAGAACGTGCTCTTCGGCTCTACGGGGAAGTGTGCCGGGGGTAACTCAAGCAAAATAGCACACGCGAGGTGAGTAAACAAGGCTGTCTTTTATTACTGATTCTTGCACGCGATCCATTTTACAAATTATATTTGTATTAGCTATTTTCCGTGGCGTCACACGCGTTAACTTGTTTCTTAATCCAAAAATATTTCTGGTACTTTTTGGCCAAATATATAGTGGAGCAGGAGCACTATATATACATATATTTTTAACTGACGATTCTTTTTTTTTTTGGTAGGTTTACATCTTTGGATAGTTCTTAACATCCAATCAAACTTTCGTTTCAATAGTTTGTTTTCTATAATTTCCAGGCAAGTACATGCTGAGGTGTGTGGAATTCTACTAGGCTCTTTGGAAGGGTTACAAACTGCTTTAGCAATATGCGGTTCAACGGGTGTGATGCTTACCCCTGAGGAGTCCACTTCAAATTCCGTCGTTGGAGAAGTGGCGCAAAGAATAAAAGATCTCAGCGATATCGGCAAGGTATATTTTGGCGACTTTCTATCACAATACAAAATAAATACAACAAAAAATATCTATAATTTTATTTTATTTTATATACTTTTTAAGCAATTTTCATTAAAATTATGAGGTTCAGATTCTGTTGGCTTTAGTTGTAAAACAGTTGTATTTATTTTAAAATAATATAAAAATAATGCAACCACTGCTAACAATTACGATTTAAACTAAACTAAAGTACTAAAGTACTTTCACGCATGTCCAGGATAAATATTGAATAAATTAGCAGTGTAACAATCTGTGTGTTGCCATACCTGAAAACTAAGGCAATATGCATACTCAGTAAATTTACTGTCGTAACTTTCATACCTGAACGCAATTATATAAGCATACGCCTGAAGGCAAACGAAGATGGGTCTTTGAACAAAGTTATTCGTGGAGATATTTCTGTCTCACATATTAAAATCATCAAGTAGCTTGATTTGTAAACTTTATTTCGGATGGAGGGTGAGATAGGAAAGTAAAATTAAAGGGTATAGAGGCATGACACCATCGTTCTTCGAAATGCATGAATACTAACATTTGCATCACATGATGACGGGATGTTCGTGATGCTATTTATGTATGTAACCGATTATTGTCACTTACTATCTATATTACTACTATAATATTTATTTATTACCATTCCAATAACTTTAATACTAGACTGAAAGACAAACCTGCTGTTCCTAAGTATCGTTTAGAAATAGCCATTGTGTATTTTATTGGTATGGCTCTAACATTTCATAACAAGACCCCAAGGCAAATACTAGAATGAATTTTAAATAAATATAAAACATGTGATAAATCACGTTTTTTGAGCAGAGCCTATACTCACTAATCGTTTACTTAAATGACAAACGTGCATGACAATAGTTGTTCGTGCTCTAGATTTTCATTTATATACTTTTAATCTGTATACTGAACTATACTGTGGGGAAAAAATATTAATACAAAAAACTGGACGTTCATAAGGAAAAATGTCCTACACGAATAAATGATGTTATATTTTAATTTTAACGTAATTAAAAGTCTTCTTGTGGTCCCATTGTAACGCAATACATAATATATGTATCTTGTGATGCAGAAAGCAGAAGCAGGAGAGGAGGAGGAGTGGGCTGCGGGCGCTGCACATGATATTGCGCGGCTGTGTGCGGAGGTGACGCTGCGCTGGCGTGCCTTCCTCCACCACACCACCGATCGACCACACGTGCACCACGCGCTAGCAGCCAGTCACCACGCATTACGGTACCCTATATCTAAATGCACGGAAAAATTACGGTAACATAAATTCAGTTCGCGTGTAGCGAAATCGTAACTGTCTTGTTATCATTTTACAAACACTATTTCACAAACACTGAAATTCTATAAAAATGTTCAGATTTTTACATAATCGCTGTTAAACGCTGAAACTAAATTCAATGGAAACTGTTCGGAGAATAAATTTGTACATACATATCTTAAGTTATACAGTACAAATCATATAAACATAACCGTGTCATTGAAATCCCGAAGTAAATTTTGCGAAAAAGTATATCTTGAGAAAAAAAGTTTATATCGTGAGCAAACTCAGAATTTAATTAAATAATCCCGTCTATGATCGTTATTGTAAAGATTATCTTATACGGCTATCAAAGCTTACAGACAAATAACAGAAATCTATATAATAAAATATTATTCCGTTTATTTAGAATCAAGCGCTTCTCCGAATGCTTCTTTGTGCTGGATAACCCAAGGCATTCCCTGGCCGGCTGCTACGATAGCAATTATCAGTCCTACCAAAGCGTAGGTGAAGTAGCAAGACGTTCAAGATATCTCGCTCTACTACCTCCGCTACCTGTACATTGTATAGCACTTGATGGAGATCCACACATCATGCCCATCATATTTGAAGACAGGTAAATTGCAACTCTATTCAAGACTAAGATGCCATAAGATACTACTAGATGTCCAGTTACCTCCTCTGCATTGAAAATGTAAACTACTTCTGGGTAGTGTCTAGTAGCATACTACATAGATAATATGTAGTTATCATTTAAATAAATTAATATTGTACTATCGGGCATTAGACTCGCCGCAACAGAAAAGTAGTATTCTTTTCTCTCAGTAAGAGTAATTCCTTCAAGCAACATAACTGGCACATAATGCTTTTAATTTGCCAATTCTGTTACTTATTAGAAATTACCTTGCCTATTTTACCATTATAATAAATAAATATTTGTTTCCTACAGATATCAGGACACAGCGGAATTTGCAAGGCGCCGTTCGTTTCTTAATTCAAATGCTAATAAATCTGGGAGCGGTAAGTATTACAGATTGTTACACCAAGTTAATTAAAGTAATGTAAAGTAACGTTAATAAATAAACCTATTTTATTTACAGATCCATTTTTGTGCTCTGAATCATTGCCAGATGATTGCGCATGCAGTATTAGTTCATTAATGGATTCAAGAAGGCCATCATCCGAAGCTTCCAGAGTCACACTAACTTTGCCTAAAACTATAATTGATGTGCTCGAACCCCAATTTAATGCGCCCAAATCTAATCCCAATATTGTCCAAGCAACATTAACTTTAGCCCCTCAAAAATCAGCTCGTGGATCTCCGAAACGAGCATTAGTTAAACAGAATGTTATTGAACTAAACAAACCTCACAATAAACAACTTGAAATAACTGGAAGAAACAGATATATTGTTCAAAATAATCAAATTAGTGAAATTCAACTACCACCTAACAATGCTTTTGCATCATGTTCTATCCAACAAGGACAGCAAATGTCTCGGTACTCTACTTCAACGTTAATAGACATAAACTCATTAAAAAGCAATACAAATGTATCGCATTTAGGAATGGATAATTCAAATCGGAATGAAGTGTTTCGTCAGAAACATGAAATAACTAGTGGAGTGAGCACATTACCAGCCAGACATAGCAAATCGTTAGACCAATTAAGAATATCACAAATGGCACAACCTCTTAGTAATACTACAGCGTTATCAAAGAATGTTAGAAATAGTTCTAATCAATCTGTAAACTATCCAAAACCATATTTACCACCACATCAAATGAAACCTACTACTCTTCCTCGAAGTGTCACAACAACAGCTTATCCCACAAATACAACAGTAAGATGCGGATCTAAAGGGGATGACTATAGAAGAAATATCAGTGAATTTAGAGAGAAATATAAAAATCCGTGCAATCTTAATATTAATCAACATGGAATGAGTAATGAGGTATTTCACAATGTAGGATATAAGTACGATGGAGTAATAAAATCTAATCCTAACCAGGTGTACGGATATACATTCGGTAATCAGGGTACAATGCAAACAAATAATGTTATTCGAAATCCATTAGAATTTCAAAGAGGCTACAGTGTAAATTTACCCCGTCCTATGTTGCCTCCACGTAATTCTTACCCACCTGTTAGTGGTAAAACTCAAGTGACTGATCAAAGTAATTTAGTTTCTAATAAACATGTTCATAGATCAAATTCTACCCATGGATTTCATCAAAATATGGATACCCAGCATATTGACATTGAAGCTGCCCGTAATCAACTTAGACATGAACTTAATTACTATTTGCAAAAAGGTGACTGGAGTTATGATTTTAACACTGGTAGTTTGATTCAAAACTACCAGAAAAAATCAAGTAAAAGTAGTGACGACAGTGGATTTGTAATGACTTTAGACAGAAGTAGTGACGGGACATCAAAATCAAATTATTCAAAAACACCGCCGTCTACACCACATTCTACTATGCCTTCGGTAAGACATAAAAAGAGCCGATCAAAAGAATCTAAATTAAATAACAGCTATAAAGACAATTCCAAGATAAATTCTAGTCGAGACTCCTTAAGTAGCCATCATTCCATAAAATCAAGAGACAGCAAGTCTGACCGCCAAACATCAAAATCGGAACGAAGTACTCCAAAATCCGATAGAGTAACACCAAGGTCAGGCAAGAGTACTCCAAAATCGGGAGGTGTTACCCCAAGATCTGGATTGGCTACTCCCAAATCCGGTAGAGTCACACCGAAATCAGGACTGGCTACTCCAAAAAGTGGTAGATCTAGTGGCAAACTGGAAAAACGTACAAAACGTAGAGAGAAAATAGCCCAATTAATATCAAAAACTGCTTCTTCGTCGAGTAATGAAAGCATACCATTTGAATTAAGTAGATTAGAATCATCGGCCAGTGTACCATATAGTCTTGATCATGGCCCAGAATTACTTCGACACTGTAGAAGTGCCGCCTCTGTTTTGGATGAACCTAATCTTAACAATACTTTTGGTTCAGAATCCCTTCCGAATTTAGCACCACCACCAGCCTTTGAATCACCGCCACTAGATATTACTGATAAAGATTTTAAAATATTGCCACCAGATAATTTCCTTACCAAAGAAGAAAAAAGAAGTCGTAGTAACTCAACATCAAGCCTAAGTGAACAGAGTGGATGGGTATCTAGTGGTCGTAGTTCAGGTCCATCAACACCGGATAATGCCAGTTGTCAATTAAATCAAAATTATTTACCTAGCACCTCACATGCGACTAAAGTATCAAATAAAAAATATAACAATGGTGTGGAACATTGTAAAGTAGATGGTGAATTAATAAGTGACTCAAAGCAAGCGCTTAATGGGGAACAGTTACGAGAGCGGTTATTGAAATTAGCTGTAAAAGTGGCTCAGAACTCGAATGAGAAAATTGAATGTTGTGATAAAGAAGTTTGCGAAGAGTGTACTATATGTAGTGATTCCATATGCACGGACAGTCAATGTGAATATAACAAGTTAATGCACAGTAATGGTATAGATGCTGGATGTAACTCAGACACGTGTACGGCGAGTTGTTTCCAACAATGTTCAGAACCAAGCGTAGGTAAACTTAATCAAAGACACAATTCATTTAGTGCCGTTCAAGGTAAGTCATTTAGTTCTACGTCGAAAAATTCAAATGAAGGAACAGTAAAAAAATCTCAAACTATGAATGAAAACCTGCATCCATACATACGTAAAGAGATCACCCCAAAACTACAACAAATACCAGCAAAATCTAGTTCCATAGATAAAACCAAATTAAGAGATAGGATAGAATATACAGAAAAATTGATAGCAGCAGAAATAAGAAGTCTATCAGTAGAAAGGCCATGTAAAAGTCATGTGACAAAATCAAGTGCTGTAGCCGCTGTACAAAAGTACCAAAATAAAGCCCGGTCTGAAGTGAATTTAGCGCATTTCCTTGGAGATAATGATTATGAGCACTTGCCACCTCCTCAACAATTTCGAGATGCACCACCACCTCCTGATGAATTCAAGGTGAATATCGGTATTAATTATGAAATAACATACTAAAACGAATATTACAATAGTTGACGCTAATCATTTTTAATTTTTAGGACCCACCAACAAAATCTCCTAAACTAAGCAGACAAAGTAGCAAATCCTCTACACCCTCTAAAACTCCACGAAAACAAACAGCACAGCCATCAACACTACAGTTAGATAATCCATTGTATCACGTATGTGAAGGTAAATAAACATAAGTTATTAATTATTCTACCTACATAATTTTTAGATATCTGTAAAAAAGCTTGCAGATAAATATGAAAGTGTTTGTATTAAACTACCTACTACTAAATAACTAAATTATAAATATATATTAATAGCTAACACGATGACTACAATATTACTTATTTCACAATACTTATATATAATGACTGAAAAATTAATATAAAAAAAAATAAACTAAAAAGTATCTTCTTAATTCTTAAATTTTTCCGCAAATTTATTTTGATTGAGCGAATAACAATACTAACAATAGCTATTGCCTTTAGGTATAATGGAGAGACGAAAGCTGAGACCCCTGCAGTCAGTAAGCTCAGGAAATGTTACTCCTGGAAGCACGCTTAACAAAAGTCAAAGCACTGGAGAACTTGCTAACAGAAATGATAACGGTATAAATGTTCTGGTCATAATGTCTGAAAATGATGCAATAACTTTCTCTTTCATTCAATAACGTTGATACGTTTCATTTTAATAGTTGGTTACTCGATTTGTGAACCCGTACATGCATTAATGATGTAGGGAATCGATAAATAACGTTGAAGACGAGAATAAACGTAGGAGAGAGTCCTATAGTTCAGCTGTGTATAGGTAATACATATATCTCTCTCTTTTTTCAGAACAACGAGAGAGTAACCTTGTCAGCATATTCGGTCTGGCAGAATCTGAGCGTCTATTCGTGAAATGCAGAGAGGAGTTCCGACAAAGTGTCAAGTACCCGGGAGCTATTTACTCCGATTTTCCACCTGTGGAGAACTCCCTACCTTACTTTCATATTAGCGATGAGTATAGAATGTTTAACCCTGAAGGTAAGCAATACCCGTCCTAAAGCATCCTATAATATAGTACTTCTACTAAGTTAAAAATCAAGGCCATATATGAATCTATAGATAAATGACAATATCTATACTATTTTTAGGTTTACACCTTATCGTCTGTGTCCACGGATTAGACGGAAATGCAGCAGATCTTCGGCTCGTGAAGACCTACTTGGAACTTGGTCTACCTGGAGCCAAATTAGATTTTCTTATGTCAGAGAGAAATCAAGGGGATACATTCTCTGATTTTGATACCATGACAGACAGGTAAATCATTACTTATTTATTATTACTATTATATTCAAATATTATTATTGTGTTATTTATCATTTCTAAGAAACTGACGATGTTATCTTAAATGACGTAGTATGAATGGAGTCAGTTAGACAAATAAATGGACTTCATTGAAGAATATTTACATTATCACTTAAAATTAAATTTAAAATAGTTACAACACGACGTAGAATATCACAGAATACTCAACGAATCAATCTGTGTATTATTTTCAGACTCGTGCAAGAAATTTTGACACATATTCAAAATTCTAGCGAACCAGCAAGAATTAGCTTCGTAGGCCACTCTTTAGGTACTATTATCATTAGATCTGCTCTGGCAAGGCCCCAAATGAAACCCTTCCTAGGAAAATTGCATACCTTCTTATCTCTCAGTGGACCACATCTTGGAACACTCTACAATTCCAGTGGTTTAGTTAATGCTGGTAAGTTAATACACTATAATGATGTCAACTCCAATATTTTTCAACGCATTTGCTCCTAAAGTGGATCTAATTTCACCGGTTTTCAATATATAAAGCAGCTCATAAAACACGCGTGCTTTATAAATTCATATAGTGAAGTTATATTCCATAACCAAAGTATTTGCTATTTAAATTTAGAACTGACCGCCGCGAACCGGCGCCAGACAATAGGTGCATTAATTTAAAAAATTAAAACGGCTGAAGAGTGTCAAATTAACAAAATATAATATCATGATTTTTATTATTTAATTGCAAGTGTGTTGAAAAACAACGTACGATATACCTGCGTATTTAATACACTCTCGCCATCGGTTCGGGATGAAATTCTGCCCCGTGTGTTATAACCATCATAACGCAATTATATCGTAATCTATTATATAAAACATATATAATCTATAACTTATATTATAATCCTTTATTTCCATAAAACAAAAATGTTGCAGTCACCATTATTTCTTGTACGTTATTAATATACACAGTGCTATATTTCACACAATTTTGTTAAATGGATTGTAATATTTTTTCAGGTATGTGGTTCATGCAGAAATGGAAAAAATCAGGCTCTCTCCTCCAGCTTTCTCTCCGAGATGCGTCAGATCCTCGTCGATCCTTCCTTTATCGACTAAGCGAAAGGAGCCAACTGCATCAGTTCAAACACATCTTATTATGTGGATCCGGTCAAGATAGATATGTGCCACTGCATTCAGCCAGGTTAGAGCTATGCAAAGCTGCTGCTAAAGATACGTCTCTGCTAGGACAGGCGTATAGAGAAATGGTGAGTATTGTATTTTATTCTATAATGTATCTATACTCATGATATATTTTCCAGCGACCTGTTTAATCTGAGTACATCTATGCGATGTACTCAGATTACACTCTGAAAATGGCTAGTACAGTTAGTGGTCTTTAAAAGATATATCTGGTTGATCGAAGGAAACAGATAATGAACCAAATTAATCAAAGAGACAGCAATAGGACCCCTTCTATGTTCCGTTGAATTCAAATATACACAGGGAAATGTTGACGTGTTTAAATGAAGCGTTAACCTGGACGTAGACAATTGATAAATGCCTATGACTATTCCATCGGAGATAACAGTAATTAAAGTATATTATTATCTTAATATATATTATATGTGCATTTGTCACTCCTTCTGAACTTGAATAAAATATTGTTATATATTTCATTGGTTACCTAGATGAATTGAAAAGTCAAATGGATAAATGACATGTGCCAAATTATTTATGTCATCGCAACTGACTATTCCAATTTGTTTGAATCAAATTGTTACTCGTAGCTACTGCATTACATAATGAAGCTTTCAAAGCTTCATCTCACCCAGCTTTGTTCATCAAAGGATAGAGAAACTACAATAGAATATAGAATAGAATAGGTTGTTTTTTTATTACTAACATGGCCCATCTGATTTCAAGTGGTTACCGTCACCTAATTACATGAACAGCACTGTTAACATCCAGTCATTATGTAAAGCCTGTGGTTCCAATTACGCGTGGCCATTGCAGACTACGATATAATATCTCTGTATCCTATACTTTCACAGCTTTATCTCACTATTCAATTAAACACAAATCAAGCAGCTTGGCAACTCAAATAGATGAAACAGAGGTACCTACGCAGAGAACTCATGGCTACCTTTTACCTCGCACCGCTCACCATCGACTAGGAATTCATCCCCGCACGTAGGTTCCAGCGGTCTGGGACTACTAACGGTGGTCTAAGTCAGTGCTGTTTCAGAGAAGCTTCCTCCCGCGCACACTTAGATTTTGGAATGAACAACCTGTCAAGGTTTTCTCGAGAGTTTTCAAGTATATTAAGGTTTCTTAAACGTCGACAATGTGCACGTGACACCCCTGGTGTTTGGGCGTCCATAGTTTACGGTAACCGTTTACCGTCAGATGGGCCATAGCTTGTTTTCCAACTACGTACTATAAAAAAATATGTTTTTGTCAGGTCTACCTCTGTAAAACATGTAATGACTGCAGGTGCACAATATGGTGTCTCCTTTGGCTGGTCGCGCCTCAACAGTGTCTGTGGTGCGGTATGACGTTCAACATGCACTCCCTCACACGGCCAGTGCTCTCGTCGGCCGAGCTGCCCATATCGCCGCCCTTGACTCTGATCTCTTCATCGAGAAGTTCTTACTAGTATCCGCGCTGAAGTACTTCCGATAGTGGACGTCTCAAATCAATAACATGATCAACGTGACCATTCGTTTTGTTTGTCAGTTAGGAGGGAGGGACTCTTATGATTGAGTTCGAAATTATAAATGAAGTAATGAATTTATTTGAATATATAGTTCTCATGCTCCATTTTTAAATACATATTGATAATAATCTATATATAATATACATATACAGTATGTATAGCACTATTTTGCTCTGACTGGGGACGTATAGATACGTACGTATATAGCGTATGGTCACGTTAAACATTGAGTATGGTTATGGTGGTGGTGGTGGTGGTAAGACACTTCTCAGACTATTTTAAAACTAAAACATACATCCTCAAGTCATTTCCATATTCAAGTACTTAAAGTCTTAGGAGATGTAAACGGCGTAATTTTTTTTTAAAGCCTTATCTTACTTGAAATTATAAACAATTCTTTAGAAAATGCTATTCAAAATAATAAAAATCATACTTACAATGAACACTTGATAATATACATACCAAAAAGTTTAAATTATACATATAAGTGTATAATGGCGGAATTGTAAATTTTTTCACTAGTTACGAATTATTACCATCCAATATTAGGCCTAAAAAGATTTTAATGTTATTATGAGTGATTTCAGAACTATTATTTTGGTTTATTCTGTTTTTAAATGATATACAATTATATTTAGAAGTATAAAATGTTCATTATTCTCTAAAGAAATAAAACTAAAAGTACCTAAAACTTATGAATATAGTAATAATACGTATTCTGCATTAGATAATAAATAAAACAACTCGACATGCCGTATAAGTAATAAAAAGTAAATATACTTTATTTCCTCTTCCTTCCAGTTAAAACCAAATCAGAATTTTAAAAAATCTTCACGACAAATCATATAAAAGAAGGTCTTTATTCAATCTTCTCCATATTGTCATATTCTGGTATTGGTGTCTACTAGTAGAAGACGTTAAGATACTAGTATATTTTGTGAGAAATAATAAGTTTGCACTTAATTAACAAAAAACAATTGATTTGTTCTAAGACACAAAGAGGAAAAATGAAAGTAGAAAATAAATGCAACTCTTCCTCTAAGAACAATTTGCTTCTGTTGTTGTTCTTAATTCTCGTGAACCCTTATTAGAGACACTATTTGAGATGAGGTGTGATACTATGTAAGTTTCTCCAGGCTCTTCACGACCAGCTTACAATTTGTGGCACTAACAAATAGGTCTATGATTGCGAATCTACCTTCCATTAAGTAGCTCTATTATCAAGTTTAGAACCGCGACCTAATAAAACAACGCTAAGTAAATATTAGTATATCCTGTTATCGACCATTATCCATACCCATGGTGTAAAAATATTGGTATTCTATAAAACAAAGACTTCAAAAGACTGCTTAACAATTATTAAAACTGAAACGTGACACAAATTATACGAAATCATTTTATAAATAGATAGACAAAAAATAAAAAATAAACCAACAATTATGACGTCAGTTTTGATGTATCAGCTAATACGTAAGTGTTTATAATAATCATACGTATGAATTAGATTGTTTTCTAGTCGGTATTTGTATAGCTATTAATTAAATTGATCAACAAAAGGGTTTAGATTTTATTGGACTTTATATTTTTCCTGTGTTTTATTAAAGATGCAGAAGATACATATCTTCTGCATAAACATAATATATAATACCTATTTTAAACATCCTTTAGTAATTTAGTAATCTATCAGTATAATTTTATGAAGTTTTTATTCAATTAACTTAATTTTAGATAAATACTTAATTATATATAATAAACAATAACTGCATACTTAAATAAATATTTTTTTTTTATATTAACTGACTACTTTTCTATCGCATTTCTTGTAAACAGCATTTATTCTACAAATGTGTTATCCTACTTAAGTGTGTAAACAAACTTTCCGTTTGGTGACCTTTATCTAATAAACCAAAGAATTAACGGAATTAATGTGTTCTTATGGAGTTTATTTTTAAGATTTGATTTTCTGAAAACCGAATTAACACGTTGATACTTTCTAATCAATCCCTTTCAATCCGTTGTGAATGAGCTCGAAGTTACGATTTATTATGTTCAATTTTATCACTCGTAAAATTTTTAAATGTCCATTGGTCGGTGTTGACGATAGTTCGTTTGTATCCATAACTTTTTAGTTCACAAAGACGGGTCATGACATTCTTCTTTTCAAACTCGTACCTATTAGGTACAATGAATAAATTCGAATAATCCCGAACATATTGCAATAAACAAAAACTGAGAAACGCACAGTCATTATAATAAAAAATTCTTTTTAAATATTCAACCTACTTTTTTGTTTTAATAAAAAGTTTTTATACTGTTGTATAATATAATAAAATGGTTGCTCTGAAGTATTGAATTATAGAATATAGTCTACGTAGCCCATAATGTGAATTGATATTTTTAGAATTGATAAGTTCAGTTTATGCGATATTTTAACGTATTGCAAAATACGAAAACCAATACCACATAAGCTATCGCTGCTTAATGGATTGCAAACGATGCGACATAAGTACTAACACAATCGATAATTTTATACAAGTATATAAAAGTGTAAAATAACCCACGTGTGTATGTTGTATAAAAGAGAAAATTACTACGTATAGGTATATGTCAGATTTTTTAAGAAGTACCTATACAATATTACATCCTTTACTATTGCTAAATATTACTTTAACTACCAGATTCATAAAGGTACGAATTTTGGTAAATGAAAATATAGGGGAGAAAATAACAAATTTACATATAGGTATATAATAATAAAAATATTGTCTATGATTCCAGGCATAGACAATATTTTAACAAAATTCGATACAAAATCTCAAGCATGTGTAGAATTGCTAGGTACGAAAATTCTTATATAGGACTACGCCAATAAGCATGTAACTAAATAGCAATCTTATTTAATCTTTAGTTAGTTTCATTAAACTACCATAATGATTATAGTTACACAGCTCAAAATTTCGCGTAATTGAACATATTCCCTATTCGTAAACAAGTGTGATAATTCCCATTGAATCCTACTCGTAGTGATTTACGGACTATGTTAAAATAAACAATGAAAGGACAATTTTAATTAGGTAGAGTTAAGGCGAATCTTTACACCAATTAGTTAAGACAAATTAGCAGCTATAATAAACAAATTAGGTACCTAGATGTTATTTGTATAATTGTCTAACAGAATATGAGCGTATGCAACAATTTAATGGACGAATTAACTTTTTGTCCAATAGGAGTAAGAACTTATAGTACGAGACGCCATCCGTAGTGCCTAAAAGATCGTCGGCTTTTAAGATTACGTAGTAGATTCACTTTGCACTCACACCGAAATTACGCTGCTTGCTTACTAGACATAAATTAATAGCTATTTAGTAACAAGCTAACATAGTCCCTAAGAAATTTACTATAGGTATTAAAGTTCTTCATCAATTTCGGGTGACGTATCTTAGAAAGCACCCCTGTATTACAGGATACTAAATGACATAACCTATTTGCTTATGATACCATACAAATTATAAAAAGAATGCACATTATATTAATCGAATTAGGAATAATTCTTCCTAGAATAAAAGACTTCCTAGACATAGTATATGTTCCCAGTAAATACACAATGGAAGAAACACTACTGATGGCGTCTCCTACTGTAAATGCTATGTTGTAACCCATTTCATTTTAATTTCGAATCATATTCTTCTGAATATTAAAACCGGAAAGAGTAGAATAGAATATAAAATACTTCCACTCCTCTCAATTCGAATCTGATCGTCGCTGTTAAAAGAAAATTGCTGTCGTCCGGTGATTCAATTCTATTTAATAATGGAACTAATACATATAGTATTAGTTCCATTATTAAATAGAATTGATAAATGATAAATGGAATATAAATATAGTTATACTGAAAGGCCTAATTTATAAATTAAGGCTTTCAGATAATTAATATATATATAGGCTGCGATTGTACTGGAAAAAACTGTACCCATTTTATACGTGAAGTGCATTTTTCAATTCATATGCAGTAAACATTAAAATCAGTCAGTTTTGCATGTATGAATATGGATGGCGTTAGTTTGGATGCATTCATCTGTTTATGCAAATAGGAAAAACTTACTGATTTATATTTGTTACTTGGAATGCTAAATTATTGAAATAGCTAAATTATAGGTAGGCAGTGACTTAATTTACATAGATTCATTTAAATGAAACTCCAAAATAACGTAAATTTGTAACATTATTCAATCATACTTAATTTCACATTACCATTTTTTTATATTAAGATCTTTCTAATTATGTAACGAGCTATCATAAAATAATATATCCCCATATTGTAGTCACCTATTAAATTAATATGTTTCAAATCCTATATAAAAATACGGTCTATTGAAACAAAACTGTGGAGGCCTGTTTATTAAGGGCCTTGCCTTAACCATGTTTATACATAATTAGAAACTAAAATTGTAAATTTTTATCGAATGTTAGACTGATCTTTAAATTATACGATCACTAAGATTTAATCGATAAGTTTCATAGATTATCATTTCATAAAGTAGTAGAAATATTGAAAAAAAACTGTTATCTCGCTCTGTCCACTTCTTTCTTAATCAGTAGGTAATGTTTTATACAGGGGGCTTGAATATTCTGATTTAGATAATTTGGTATATAATATAAATATATATGTATATATAAATTAGTAGATACTCATTACTGGGATAGTACTAGTGTTACCTCAATTTTTGCTCATGAGCATGATTAACAGATGGTAATAAATTATGAAGAAGTGTATCCAAAGATTGGAAATTAATTTTGTAAATATAGAGATGTTTTATTTGTAAATTGTATGTTTAATGGCAATGTGTCGATGTTATACACTTATAATAAATAAATAATGCCTGAAATTGTTTTTTTTACATTGACCTTTCAAACCCTATCATTAAGCCGAACTAGAAATAAATATACTTCATCTGGAAGAGTCCACTGAATTATTTTTTGTAGGTAGGTATGTACCTATCTCTAAGACACTGATAATTACCTAATAGAATACTTTTTATATTCTTTGGAAGTATACCTACAAAGTTATCAATTAGACTATAATTTTTATATGTTACACGATATTTTTGGCAATTTCTTTCATAAAGATGAATGATTCTTTTTGCTAGCATTACGATTTATACACTGCTGCAATTCTTTCATAACCAAATTGGCATAGATAGGTACTACTGCACGATGGGAAAACAACTTTATAAAGAAATAATATTCAATTTATATAAGAAATAAAAAGATATGGTGCCAAAATGTCTTTTTATTCCATCGCCACCACGAACTTCTGTTTAATGTTATCTATGTACATTATTATAATATCAAATGCGTTATCTACCATACAATCTATCAGTATAATAAATTTAATTCAAATCCGTTAATATTGAATGAATAACAGATATTCAAACAACTACAAACTGATGTTCAATTTGTTGACGGTCTCGGTGGTGTATCGATTTAACACACTACCCTACTTCGGGTAGTCGCAGGTTCCATTCCTTGCACTGTATATACTTTGGTACTCATAATTATTCGTATTGGAATAAATTAATATTTTCTATGCATATTATGCAGGTATATATTAAAAAAAAATTAATGTTTGTTTGAAAAATAACCTTATACTCATAACACAAGAGCTGCTTAGCTTTATACTTAAAAATACTATCTACTATTAGTAGGATTACTTAAGAACAAAACGTTATTTTTAGCTAATTATGGTATGACATAGCTATTTTATTTAGGATAATGTTTTATGTAAACTAAATTTTAAATAGCGATGCCGAGCTAGTACCCGTTGACAGACAAAGCTTCTGACCACCGCATTTCGGGTAACAGTCGTGATGTCATATACGTCATACTTTAATTAGATATTGAATGTGTATATTTATTGTTATTTATTTATTCACTATTATTATACAATTGTTAACAATATACATAATAAATAAACGGTCGACTAGAATAGATTAACGTATGACAGATGAAATGATGAACAACACACAGAGTAGTCTGAACGCTTATTAGTAGGACTGTGGTCGGCCACAGATGCGTATTAGGCGAGTCTGTAATAATTTACTGTTAAATTCTTATTTCTTTTTACAATTTGTCCTTTCTACCCCTATTAAGAAAACTTTATTTCTTCATTTACTGTACGTAGGCACATGTTTCTACAATACTGATTTTTTTATAAGTTTTTCTGCTAAATTTAAATTATAAAATAAAATAAATTAAGTTGGTATTATTCATGACATTGACAGCTACATCAGTAATTTAAAAAAATGACACAATACGGCAACTTGACAGTGACAGTTGGCTAGGAGGAGTAGAATATAATCGAGTTTACTAGGTTTGTCATCGGTTTCAGACGACTATTTTGTGTGCAATCCCAAATCGCGCATTTTCTAGTGATTTTCAAAATTGGGCGTATATTATAGGAATCGAACAATTACTACTTATTTAACAATTAAAAACTGAAATAGATATATATGCTATAATCAACTTTCGGTGTATTTTAAAATTCACGTTTTCAGTTTTATCAATGCAATGCAGTGGATGCTGATGAATCTTTTTTGAATAAATTGTGACTTTTAATTGTGAAAAATGGGAAAATTATTAAGCCTTTTGGCTCGTGATGATTCAAATTGTTGTTCTTCGCCTCGCTACGACATCTTCTTAGATTTTGAAAACGCTGCACCTACGGACACGGAGCGCGAAGTTTATGAAGAAGTGCAGAGAGTTTTATTAGAATCAGAGAAAATCCTTCAGGAAATACAGTGTTATAAAGGTGCGGGGAAAGAGATAAGAGAGGCTATAGCAGATTCTTCAAGGATATCACAGGAGCGAGCTTGGCGTGCCGTGAAACCTCTGGTGGACAAACTACTCAGATGTTACAACCACTCCCTAGAGCTCCAACGGGTGAGTCAGTTTGTTTGAAATATAATTTCAATATATATTTCATACAGATTTTTATTATATAATTTTGCTGACTTTCAGTCATTTTTTGTGGAGATGAACTAAATGGGTAAATTATTTATATATATAATTCAGAAACATGTCATAGCATAATCCAAAAAAATATATATAATACATTCACAATAATAAGTAATAATTTATCCATTGCTAAGTGTTAATCTTCACAAATAACAATATAATTGTATTTGCTGCTTAACTTGATAATAAAGTTCATATTACTATGAGTAATAAACACAAACATTAAGATATGATATGGACCCATCTCTCTGTAAATTTTTCATCGACATATGCAACATACATACTTATATTATAAAGAGTCTATATTTGGTAGTAATTGGTAATCATATTCCCATAAAAACATGTCTAAAATTAGGTCTTCAAGTATTTACAAGTATTCCATAAAAATAATTGGTGCCTGTTTGAGCAGCACATAATTAGTATGAAGTGCATAAAGTGATATTGTTTTAAAATATGGTTTTATATTTATCTTAATATATAATTATACTACTTAATATATGAACTGTACTCTTTCATACATAAAGGTGTATATTAAAAAACAATATGTAATATAATTACTTATAATTACTTAGAAATCATAGACCATTACATGGTCTATGATTTCTAAATATCTGGTTTAGTTCTTTCTATGCTAAACCTGATATTTAGAAAGAATATACATTTTGTATTGATAGTAAACTAGAACTTCATATAATGTAATTCTGAGCACTCTTTTGTAGCGTCTACTAAAATGTATAATATACATATTAACAAGACAACAAAGGTTAAACATTGGATTGAGAAGCTTGCTAATAGAAATTGCATTTCCCTTTATATTGATAGGCTACTAAAAAAATCTTAGGGATATGATATATACCATTATACATAATATGTACCATTATTGTGAGAAGTGTATATTGTAAACATACAAAATTTAAAATAAGATTCTCAGCTAACTGACAATTTGTTTTTTTTTTTGTTTACTGTAGCAAAAGAATCCACATTTCAAAATTCACTTTGAATTCCACATAATAATAAACACCTTAAAAAATCTGCAATATAAAATGGAGGTGTTGTATTTATAATAATAGTTTGATAAATTTTATCAACTGTTTATCACTGATTATATGTACCTCGCTGATATCTCAGCTGTAAACTCATGTTTCAGGTAAATAAATAAGACTATATTTCTATTCCAACTGACCATTCTTACCATTATTATTTTATCCTTAAAAGATAATTAATTAAGGACATGTAAATATTTCATGAAGTAACTGTTATAAATGTTATAGTATTCTTATGTTGCTGTATATTAACAGTAAATGTTTATATGAAATTTCTTTGGATATGTTCTTTCAGATTATTATTTTTATTATCCACTAATGTCAGATAAGGTGGTAGAAAATTTAAGTAAGTTTATCACTCCCCTCTTGCTATTTCTACTATGATTTTAACCAAAACTGCAAAATTATTTTTGTCTTGTGGTTTAAATGCGACAACCACAATTTTATACTTGCCGCTACTTACAAACCACAATAAACGTTCGATCCATCACAAATGTGTGAATATATTGCAAGCGATTGCGGCAAAATCAGAGAGACAAGAAATCAACACTCATAGGAATAACTACAAGTGCTTAGACCTATACAAACAAAGCCAAACTCTGTTTTCATAAGATTGAATGCATATGAAACGAGAACATATAACCTCAACAAGCTATCACAATGGCTTGCTGAGGTTTGCCAAGCTTATGGACGAAGAATGAATGTGAGTCGTATACCGCAACATGCTACACCGCACCGAGTTGAATTGTTCACTTGATGTCAATTCATATCGATGCGCTTCTTTTGATGTCTATGCCTAGGATTTGTATGTTGACCTTTTATCTTATCTTCATCATTCGAAATGAGTTCAAAATTTAACATAAACTTTGTTTCCGATCTCGATTCTAAATTTGAAAACTTTGTATTGACTACATGTATTCCTAATCTTATTGCACGCGATACAAGACGCGGCCTGTTTTTTTTATATTACTTATTATAATTATAAAATTCAAAGATTTTCCATAACGATGTTTATGGCGAGAACGATGCATGTAGGTGCAATGAAGCGAGACCGTTCCACTAGGAATATATAGAATTACAGATAGGTACGTCTCCAATCACATTACAAGTTTCATAGTAACTGTATGTAATACATAACCTGCCTCACCCAAGCCCTTGGGTGAGGCCTTAGCCTTTTTTTTTAAATAATAACCGCACAACAAATATTACCATTAATTAGTTTTAAGGATATTATATTCATATAGGTACAATCACCATTTAATGAAGTTTCTAAAAAACCGGTTGGTATTTATTTGGCATGTAACTCTAAAAATCTTTTGTTTTCTGTAAAAAAACTATGCAAAAATTACTGCAATTCGATGTCTTATATATATTTTACTTTTATACCTTTAAATAAATAAAACTCTAGAAGTAAATGCGTCCATTGTTTTTTTTTTAATGAAACTTATGTCATTTCAAACATTTAATTACTTATTGTTAAATACAATGTAATATATTGAAATTATTACTAATTATTAAATTAATTTCAATTAATTGCAAATGACAAATGTAGATCTTGTTTACGACTTATTTTATAATGTGGCAACCCAAGATAGTATCAGGAAATAATTATTTGATTATACGAATGAACAATTTGTTTACAGGTAAAACAAATTTATTATATACTTAATATTATGAAAAACTAAATTTTCTATTGGAGAATAATGTCCTCATTGCTGAAAACGTAGCCTGTCAAGTACTTCCATAAAAAACAAAGTGACAAAAAAAAAGGAAAAAAATTACTTCCACGCACGCATTTGCATGATGGTCGAATTACCTTACCTCATCCTCATTCTTTCGTTATCCACCGGACCCCTGTCAAAGTATACTGTTAATATAGATGGAATCTATCATCACAGAACAAAATTGTATCTATAAAATTATTTATAATTCTGTTGAGCGTAGAGAATGTTATTATGACTTTGTTATAAAATAAAACGTACTTGAAGGGTGTTCATTCCTCTGTAAATAATAGGATCTAAAAATATAGAACTTTAAAGGTTATGATGTATCTAGTCAATACATCATATGCTTTAAAGTTCTTTATTATATAGATATGTTCTCTACATGCATTAAGAAACTGTCCACAAACAACTTCATACAAAATTGATTTCCCAAAAATCTATAAGAAACACCTTCTTTTAGTTTGTTATCTACTAAAAGCTTTGATATAAATTATAAAGTTGTCTTATGAACAATATGAATTTCTTTTACAAAACCGTGTATGTACATTTATTGGACCCGTGGTCCGTAACTAAGCTAACTCAAGTGCCACTTATCTTATTTCAGAAATAAGAGATGACATAAATAATTTGATAGCCCCTGAGCATTACTTTATATTCTCTGACACGACCCTGGAATTTCAATTCCTGTAAAAGACGATTAATATTAAAATGCTGTCTCCGTCTCTACCTGAACTTTTTTATATGACTGGAATTGTAAACAAGCTGATGGCCCATCTGATGAAAAGTGGTAACTGGATATGCTTACACTACGATATATACTCCACGAACGAGACAAAACTGATTATGCCTCCATGCCATGTACTACATACTTCATATATATATCAGCTTGCAAAGCAAACTGAACCATAAAAACGGATTGTAGAGATACCCACACAGACAACTAAATATAGACTCTAATTTTCAGCAATAGATATAACAGGATTCACATTAATAGACTTTTAAAATATTCAATGTTATAACATGTTGATTTCATTATTGTTAAATTTATAATTATACACACGTATCGCCATACCGTTGCTTAAAACTGTTTACGTAAAAAATCAATCGCATGTCCCAAATATAGCACATATTTAAAATAGAAATATAACGTGTAGCTCAGCGTAAAAAAAGGTTGTTTTTATAGGCCCAGTGTACAATGGCTTTCTATGTATTTTTATTGCATCTTATATGACCTTCACATATTCCTTCAAGTATATATTTTTACAATTTTTTATCAATGATTATATGTATGTACTACAATAAACCAACAAAGTACAAAATATTATAATCAATTTTAAACATAAGCTGCTACTCTAGAAAAACAATTTAAGAAGATATGACAGTTTTGTATAATGTCGGATTGATGCGGTCCACGACCAACCATCTTAAACTAATCCATTTACAGAATCCATTTTATTTTCATACCAATAGGACAATGCAATTAATTCCATTTTATAATATTACCTACTTACTAACTTGTTTTTACCTAACCTCTATTAATAACATCAGCATACACAAGTATCGCATTAACTGTAATTAAATTAATTAAACAATATTATATTACCTGTGTAGGTAACATATATTACGTATTTAGGTAACGTGTATACGTTACGTATTTAATAACGTGGTCCTATTAAATCGCCCACTTCTCCTACAATCATGCCATTGTGCAATTAAATGCAATTCAGCAATTTAAAACTTTTTTCGTTTTATACTGGTCCGTACAGCACCAGTTAGGTGTTGTACAAACGTAAAACTTAATAAAAATGTAAGTGTTTAGTTTTACTATTTTAATTCTGAACTCTTAACCCCATAGTGCGAGTATGGTGCCGAACTGAAAAAGTAATCAGTAGTATTTATTTTTTGTTTTGTTATTCTCTTTTTACCGATAGCGACCGAGTTTCCTTGATATATAGAAAATACATACACAACATATATGTCCATAGTTATCTTGTTAGAATGGGTACATTTGTATGTACATACCAAATCTTAAAATAATTTCATTTGAAATAAACATAATACTGTTTTTGAGATATCGAAATCCTTTCATAAATAAAGAGAATGATGTTGACCACTTGTTTAACTACAAACATAAAGAAAGGTGAAATTATTATCTCCC